CAATTATCTCAAATTTGAATCAATTTTCCTTTTGAAAATTAAAAAATAGAAATGAAAACTGCAGTGAAAATTTACATGATACCCTTTTTTAATCATTCATTATTCGAGCGTGTTGAAAAAAAAATGAGAAGATAATTTCGATATACTCTCTTTTAATTTTAGATAAAAAAATATTTTACCGATAGTTAATGGCGTTTGTGGAAGATCAACGTTTATGCCATTATTTGCTGTTACAGTTGGTACATGTGCTTCATAGAAAAATGAGGTTTATATCAAATAAACTATTCATAATTGCAACTTACAAACAACCGTTGAACTAAATTTTATGTCTTCGACAGTTACATAATCTTGATTGGCGTTCTGTGGTAAATTATTATCTTGAAAACTTGGCATAGCTAGACAAAAAAAAACAAGTCAATGATATTGTTCATGTTGTATAAGAAAATTTAAGAAAGCAAACCATTTTAATCTATATAGCAACAGTGAGCATAATCTGTAGATGATCAGATATCTAAAGGGTGTCCCAAAAGAAATGACCCCTTTGAATTTAAAAAATTTTTTTGGAGGGTATTTCAGAAGTACGTACTTTTGAAATACATTCGAAAAAGTTTTTTAACTTTTAAGGTGTAAATTTTTTTTTGGGATACTCTGTACTATAATTTTTCCATAAAAATAATATTAATTATTTTCTTTTATGATAATGAAAAGGCAAATCTTCAATTTATTTTAGAGAATCGATTTTATTTAAATGTTTTTCTTTCTATGTTTAAGGAACTACAACCAAACAAGATTCAAGACTATTGCGATGGTTTGATTAAATACACTTCAATGACAAAAGCTTGGTCTTTAAAAGAGTGTCGCTGTGAACTTTTTGATCACGTTATATTGGATTAAGAGACCTATAATCTATTACACAAATTTATTATGAATTCTGAATCGTACTCCATCATACATTATTCACTCTGGACATTATAATTTATTTTGTTTTATAACTCATTATAATACTTTGTTAATTCTTAACAATCAATTCTTTGTGGCACAATATAATTAATTGGGATTAAAGATACAGAATAACTTCGGATAGAAATTAAAGCTTGAATATTATATTTATTTTAACTAATCAAAGAAAAAAGTAACAATGTTAGTAATTAATAATGATTTAGACGAATATTAAAATTTTCATAAACAAGAGAAATACAGTAAAATCATAAATAATAAATGACTAGTACTGATAATATTTATTCTACCTCGGTTATAAAAAAAACCACAAACGAAGCATTAAATTCTTATGATTATATCTTTCATAGATCTTCTGAACATATAATTTACTTTTCTCTTCACTAAATACTTACTTAGTACAATTGTAATAATTTTAAACAATAACTCTTCGTGAAGACCAAAATATAAGAAAGATGGTAGTTTGCAACAACAACTTTCTTAGAATTTTCCTAGTGAATTTGTAGAAGCATTTGACTGGTTTCATTGAACCAATTAGGTTTTTGTACAAATATTGTCTGATTTGAAATACTGTTCCTGTAAACTTCTTGCTAGTCATTGTTTACGGCATAATAAAATAAATACTGAAATCAATAAATGAAAAGCTTCACATAGAAAGTATCAAGAAAACGAATGTAAAGTAATACAAAAATCTATCGCAGATCACCTCAGCGTTGAATACATAGAATACACATGTGGAATGATTTGATCGATTCTACTACTATTGCAAGGCGGAAATAGTATTTCATTTTTGAGAAGATTCTCTAGGAGTACATCATAATTGACTAAATGTATTTGAGGAATAGGTTTATTATGATATGAAACAAAGCACAAATTTATACAAAGAAACAACTCTTAGACTATATAACAGTTGAATGAACATTTGCTTATCCAATCGTATAACACGATGATCAGTGATTTACATGATGATGAGAATATGAAAAAAAGTATATCGATGAAGCCGAACAAATCTTATTTAAATGCATTCACTTGTCTCGTCAATAGCAAATCACATATCCTTGTAAAGTCTTCGTCGTATGAATCACGAAAGTATAGAATTTTTCTTGAATGTTTAGATTATGTATTGTATATCGACCCGTAAGAAGTAGAAATCAGAATATTTCTGTCGAAATAATATGAATAGTGAATAACTTATTACGATTCAATTCACATACAACTCATATCTCTCGTCGAACTTTTCGATGCAGTACCTCCACAAATAATACCCAAGGATATAGGACGCGCAAATGAAATACTACAGGCATTCTGTCAAAATGATAAAAAGTAAATTAAAATAAAATACCTAAAAGTTGAACACAGAAAAAAATTCTAAGACTCTAATCGTTCAGATATCACAAATATGTCATATAGTTGATTGGTGATTATTCATGATTTCATCAGCATGCAATTGCTACATGGATATGTATTCGATGGTTCATCTATGTTGATAGATGTCAAATAAAGCCATCTGACAATCATATAAAGCAAAAATAACAGAATATCAGTATTAATAACGATCGTACCGTTCAAATATGTTTTGCACATCACAACAATTCATCATCGAACATATACTGCACAACATAACCAAGTGTTCGTGGGTGCATAATGTTGTAAGCATTCAAATATTATTTGCATACCTATCACATTCATTTTATAATTCCACACAGTAAGATTACGAAGTAATACAACTTGTAATCGTTGTTTTACTATTCAGAAATAGTCAACGTTTGAAAACCATTTGTCAGTTGATGATAACTGGTCATATATCTCAGATGTATGATGGATTGATCTAAAACTATATACATCACGTATAGACACTGGATAATAAAAAAGTCATCATGTACCCATTTTGATATAATCATTTTTGGTTTGTAAAAGCATTTTGAAAGTCATTCCAGGTCTGAGTACGTTAGTATAGACTGTAATTACAAACCTAATGTTCGAATATATCGTATACACGTATAATAGAAAGATTTGATTAATAGAAACAATACAAGCATGCGGCAATACCATGATTCGCATTAATATCATTAATATAAACTTTCAACATGCAACAGAACAATTCGAAATAGCACTGAATTAGGCCGCATCTAATACTAAAATCGATGAGAATGCGATTCATTCTAATATATTATAAGCATATATCATACAACAATTTGGTAAAGCTAACTAGCTCAGTGTTGAGGTCATTCCACAGATGATCAAGTTATGTATTCTGAAAATTTATATGATATTTTTTCATGACAAATCAATCTTAGATATCTGAAATAAGTCTTATTAAGCTCAAGAACTGATCAACCAAAAGATGCTAATAGCATATGATTGGCTTATTAATGCCATGGGCATATATGAGTCATCTGTGAAATTTTTTCACTCTTATTGTATATTTTCAAATAAAAATAAAAAGAATGATATCACTAGTCAATTTTTGAAACAAAGTCTATGCTGTAATTAAGCATCGGGCAAAAATCGTATAACAGAATTTATGACATTGTTGCTGTGCAGATATAAACTACTTGTCTATACGAGCTATGATCGTATGTTACCGCTAATAGCTGTCTTGTAACGGTTCATCTATTAGGCAATTTGTTCAACAAAATAAATAGAAAATAATCGTGTTCAATAGATATGCTAGAACTCAAATCTCAAAAGGAATAAAAAACCAGCATGAATTCCATACGTAATGAATAGCCAATATTTTATGAGTCTAGGAATGTTTGTATTTTCTTTATGGGAATGCAAGTTATTTTCTGACTTTTTGTGACGTTTTGCTACATTCGAAATTTACAATGAATCTATGATACGAGCGACATCTTTTTTTCTTGAGCACTCATTTGTAACGGAATGCACGAATCTCCATTGACTCAGCTTTTTTGCAAACAAATGAGGTGTATTATCGAAACGATCCTGTTTCGGATTGGTAATAGTTTTAAACATATTGAATAGTTGAAGAGTTGACTCATTCGTATGAGTAGTTGTATGAATCAATTTGAAAATGACATCCGTTACGAACTGGTTGATATAGAGTGAGTCATGTTGCAAGACGAAACCATCTATATCATTTTATATATTAAAAGGGTGTGGGTGTGGGGTGTGGGGTGTGGGTGTGGGTGTGGGGGTGTGGGTGTGGGTGCGGGGGTGGGGGTGGGGGTGTGGGTGTGGGTATGGGTGTGCATTTTCCTCATGCCCACACCCTTTGCTGAACTTTTGAATTGTACGCACCTTACATTAATTCATTCGCAACGGCTTACCTTGAAAAATCAATTTAAATTTTCTTTCAAACGAGGTTTTATTGAGTTAACACCGTACACGTAAACAGCATGTGTTTATATTTAATCAAAATCAATATTAATAAAAACCTGTTCTCATCTCAATTCTTTTTTTATAGTATATATCTCTGAAGACAGCTGTATATGAAAAATGAGAATTCAATCATTTTCAATTTCCATCAAGGCTCTCCTATTCAGATCCATGCTTAGTTATCTACATCTACGTACCATTTTAAATGAATTATGACTGAAAAGTAATCAAGCGTGGTGAAACAGAATCTGGTCATCGTTTTGAATGAATCATGACCAAGGGTGCTATTCAGGTCTTACATTATCAACTTTTGGTCTTCGTTTGATCCATCACCTCACAGTGGACAGTAATGTGGTGTGAGGTATGGGTGTGGGTTCGACTGTTTTGTATATATACATTTGCACCGACACCGACATCCACACAGCCACAGCTACATGCACACACCCACACCCTACACACTCACATCCACACCCTACGCACTCACATTCACACTCGCACCCCACGCCTACACCCTACATACCCACACCCAAACCCACATCCAAACCCAAACCCACACCCTATTTGTATGTATTCGTTGTCTTATTAAAACATTTCTTTCAGACTCATTGACTAAAGTCTTGAAGAAATTACATTCACTTAAACAAATAGAATTTCAATGCAATGGCTCTATAGGAGTTGATGATGATGACTGGTTAAATAAGCGAAAGCTCGACGACAATTAACCCAGCGAGAAGCTTTTTCACAAATATTTACTTAATCCATGTGAAGCAAAACATCGAATAAGTATAAATAATCGCATTTAGTTACGACGCTGGAACACTATTCAGAAAAATATTTACGAGCCTATCACTCCATATCAACTGTGTGAGTCTCATTCAGAATGCTCACAGTCAGCTTTGTGCTTCTTTTACTTATCATGGATACGGGTGCCATCGTTTGTCCTAATGGACAGCGGCTTTG